GAAGACAATTTGGACTGTGTTCGTACAGACTTCATCAAAATAACCAGCAGCAGAATGTTTATTTCTACCCTAGCATATGATAAGAAGTAAATTTACAACATTAAGTAATTAAATTAATTCGTTTAGGGATATCTACATTTTGCTTAATTACGTGACATTCACTGTCTCGTGATACAAGTGCTTTGGCACGGAGACCTCTGAGAGGCCTTTTCACTGATATCTTAAATATAAATAATTAGTACGAGAATTTCTCATTCCGTTAATGATGACTGGAACATGAAAGTCTATGAACTTGGAGAAACACTTTTATCCGTGTACCAGAAAGCCCTATAATCGAATTCTAACTTCCACGGTCATTCGCTCGCAATATAAAATAACCGGAATAGAAGTTTAAAATAAATATACATCAATTCAGATTTAAATCCATCCAATCCTCTATTTGAGTTTCATAATCATGTTAATGGAAAACATGCCTACAAGCTAAAAAGATTATGAAAACTGACACATTTACCACAAGAATAAATATTTGACATTGATTTCATACTCCGAAAACTATGTATATAAATCATAATAAAATCCCACACAACACAAACTAGTTTTAAAATATATGAATACATTTATATCTTTAATCTTCACAGTTTACCTTCGTAGTGTATAAAATTTTGTCACTAATCATTTATTTAGATCTGAAATTACAACATTAGGGTACTTTGCCAGTCAATTAAACGGTTCGAGATTCTGGCCGGTTATAATATAAACATTTTGTAGTAATTTATAGGTTAATGAACTGAATGTTCTTTTTCGATTCAAACAGCGAACAGCATGAAGTTTTAGTCACTGGAGAAGCTTCTAACTTTAGAAAAAACGGAAGCTTTGACATTCTCAGCAAAGAGTGTATGTATGAACTAAAGTGTCCAGGCAGATTTTAATCAGGAAACAGTACCAAATACTTCGGCGAAGAAAGTAAATGGAGTCATTTAAGTTGCCTCTGAAGCCAGTTTGAATGAATGAATAAATGTCCAAATATCTACTTCACTTGCTTATTAGCTAACGGCGTTTATAATAATCTTCGTCACAGGTAATCCGTTAGTTAATGCTGAAATAGTGAAATATTACCTATTAATTCTGAGAACCATACGAAACCCTTAACAAATCCTCTGTGCAAAGTTTTGATACCGAGAGTTAAAATAGTTTACCACTGTTCTGCATAAAACCACTTCCCAAACATCTTTTCTGCCGCCAAGGCTGAAACACAAAAATATATCGTGCAACATACACAACTTTGTATTTAAAAATAAATACACCCATAAAAAATAAATAAATTAATGCTTATAATGAATAATTGCTCAAATTAAGGTAAGGTCAAGTATGCCCATAGTTGATAATTCTGTTAAAGGCTTTTACTTAGTAATGTGTGGACCTGCTTGCAATAATAAGTTAGTAACATTTAAAATAACTGGCAATGACGATTTAATTGAACTTCCTCACATATACAAACTTTATGCACGCAAGTCACCTAGAAATCTAAATGCGGTCTCAGGTATGGTTGGCAATCGAGCGAGACAGTTTCTTCGTAATGACGTTTTGCTCAGAGCAGGGTGGAAATAGTAAGTATATTTCTTGACGATTACTTTATTAAGGGATTCGATGCTTCAGCACCAAATACAGAGACGCTGAGTCCATACAGCATCACAGCCCAGAAGAACATCCTCGCATTCACAGATAAGATAACTTCAGATCTCACACGTATATCTCTTGCTACACATACACTAGGCTATAAAAGGCTGAGCATTTACTTTTTTCAACAATTCTACCCCATCTGTCCCTGCATAACATTCCTTGACGTTCTGGCACTTAACCTCCTGCTGATAAGGACGTTACACCACAGCCGTCCCTGTATCGGCGCCTACCCTCAGCCATCTTGTGTATTTCTCGACTCAGACAAACTCTTTAATGGCCTATTTATTATTTGTGAGACATCAGTTCCTGTAAATATAAATTTTTAACATTTATCTGCCACCAAACCCTTGACGTTGAGAGTGGGATACTCTATAAAGTCTCTTTTCAAAAATTTTATACGCTCTTCTCCCTTACCCAAAGATTGCTCTATGCCGTATCCACCTTACCTTCTATGCTTTTAAAGGAAACATAAGAAACAAATCATCATGTTCATTGTTACGTCAATTGCTCACTTTAACGCCTTTTACTCAGTCAAAATGTACCTGTATCAAGTTATTTGAGAAGTCACAAACTCATATGCATAAATTTGTTTTAAGTCGTTCACTTATTTACACAATGTTTTCATAGTTAATTATTCTCATGTGTTCATTTGTATTTTTAAACGAGAAAGCTCAGGCCGATTGGACGACCGGGTTTCAATTCCCGGCATGGCCAAGAATTCCTCCCCACGTCCAGAACGGCTCATAAACCCTCCCAAGCTCCTGTCAAAAGGCTACTTGGAGGAGGGTGTAAAGCGACCGGAACTCGCAGATGACTGTCGACAGTAAACAGATGAAGAACGTGTGGCGTCACTCCCTTCAACATTAACTTCAATTTCATTTCTTTATCTCTGATTCTATCTTTTATTAATCAGATAAAATTTCTAACCTGAAATTTTACACAACACGTCATCTGATTTCAGGAATTGCTTACATCGGGTTTCGAAACCTGAGTCCTGATGAAGTGACATTGGAAAAAGCGTTCAAATCCTTCAACGAAACCGGCCTAGATGCCAGTCAGCTTGTGAAATGGAGTGCCGACAATTGTTACTAGTAACTGTGGGAGCGCACGAACACAATGGCACATTCTTTTCTGGTGTAGGGTGTAAGGGGTAACATCTAGTGTTGAAAGTATTGTTCAAAAGGCAGATTTTTACAGATATGGATCGTTTGTATAAATATAGGTTTCTGAGTCTAACTCAACATATAAACTGAGGCCAGAGGGGCTTGACTAATTATGCCAAGCCATGCATATCAACACAAATATCATTTTACACCATGAAAAGTTTCATTTAACGTTCCATTGCTAATGAGTATCCCATTTTTGAAATACGGCACCATGTAGTGTGGACTGTGTCACTGATGCTTCGAATGTCTTTACTGTCTCCATCTTCAAGGTAAAGTGGATAACAAATGGCTCGTGGTGATACTTGTATAGCATGGCACACGTATATTTCTTCACTACCCATGGTGTTAAATTTCTAATTTTGTTATACATAAAATCGATAGGAGCCGCTCACAATGTCATGTCCAAAAATTTGTTAATTTTATAATTATACTCATGGTAATTGTTAAAAGGCAATATTCTTGACTCCTCTGATATGAAGAATAAACAAATA